AAAAAAAAAAAAAAGAGCCAGTTTAAGCCGAGAGGGCATTGGGTGTTTGACACGATCCAGCACCCATATTAATTGCATTTCTTTTCTTGTCTCATTTTAGGTTTTACTATATTCTCACGTTTGGAAACCTATTGAAATTGCATCAGTCAGGAAATTGATAATAGATTGTTTTAGATCCCGTGTGCGAGAGCTGTAGTGCATGAAGAGATATATTAAGGAAATTGGTTTGTTCCTGCAATTCCAATCTCAGAGAGGGTTACCGGGTGTCTTACCCGCCACAATAGTGCATTTGTGTTTGTATTCATTGCTTCTCTTAGGTGCACAAAACGTCAGTCCAGTGCATGTCCATGGCTTATATGCTGCTCTTAAGTGGGTTCATGGGATATTGCCCTAACTCCAGAAGCCTTTAGATGCTGACATATGTCGGAAAATGGTTGAAGCAGAAAAAAGAAGCAGAACCAGCCCAGTGATGAAGAAAGAGCCAGTTTCTGTGGAACTGATGAAGGATATTGTTCGAAAGTACGGGCATGAAGATGCTACGCTTAAAGATTTGAGACTGGCAACTATGTGTGTTTTATTATTCGCAGGGTTGATCCGTGCAAAAGAATTTCTTATCATTAGAGTGCTGGATATCACGTAGTTTGACGATCATTTCGTCATTAATGTGCCAGAAAGCAAAACGGACATCTATAGACAAGGTCAGCACGTATTTATGGCAAAATCCAATCCTGAAACATGTCCTGGTGTTTTAATAAACAGATACCTCGCGCAGGCGAACATCTCACTTAATTAATGACAGTGGCGTTCACTTATTTAGGAATCTAGTTTATTTCAAATTAGTAGATAGTTACACTTTAGGAATGAGAGTTGTGTCCTACACAAGATTCCGCGAGAATTATATTACAAAGAATGTCTTAAAGAGTTAGGCTACGATGAAAAGTTGTACGGATTGCATAGTTTTCTTGCTGGTGGTGCAACCACAATTGCTAACAGTTTGACAGCTCCTAATAAAGAGAGATTGGTAGAACTATATCACCAGTGGAAACGGACATTAGTGAAAACATGTATATTAAAGAAGATAAAGCAGAAGGCTTATGGCATGGTTTCTAAAAGCATGGGTATATGAATGTAAATAAGTTTAACTGTGTGAATAAAGTCGAGTGTGGGTACCGGTTTGCTAAGACAAGCCTAGCCTATAATAACAAACTAGTTTGGTTATTGTATTGTGTACAGAGGAATGGCGAATTAATAGGAAAATGTTTTTCATTCGGACGAATAGCATGAGGGAGAATGAAATGGCCGTTTCTACGCCCTCTCTCCCTTCGCCCTGATAAAAACAAACATCAAATTTGCAAAAACTACTCGTGTTATGAAATCGTTTTCTTGTTTCTTTAGTGTCTCTACGCTCACAATTTTAGGCATTTCCAACTTAGAAGTGCTTGCTTTGGAATAAGAACGTGAAAGTAGAAATAAAAACTTTGTTGCAGCAGTTTAATTTCGCAGTGCAAATATACCTGTTTTTAATATGTATATCCTTTTCGAAGTGAAATATACAAGTGCAAATTGACCTTCCTTAAATTCGTACTTGCCCTATTTTTCACTCCATAAAAACTACTTTTATCGATGGAGAAACTATTTCACTCTAAAAATAAGCTTGAATTTTTGTGGTGATATAGGCTCAGTTCTTTGCAAACAGTGATTTAGTACTCGGTAGTGTAGTTGTTGTTGATGAACAAAAGTCTAAAATGAATTCAACATCCGTCAACAAAAAGGAATCGCGCTTATTACTACTCTGTAGAGGATAGACAATTAATTTAACTCACTAGGAACCCGTTCTACAATATAAACTCGAAATCGGCCAACAAATTGCCACGAAATACTACAATGAAAATAGGGTCTCTGAACTACCAATTTCACCAAACGGTCAAGTTTCTCTGCAAAGATCGCCCCTTTGCCCAATTTTCCTCGAGTAGATCATCGTGTTTTTATGTCAAGGATTATGTATACTTTAACATAAAAGAATAAAAAAAGTGGTGATAAAGGGTAGATTTTGAATAAAATACGAACATCTGTATACAAGATCAGAGCGTTATTACGAAGCACTCGATAATTTTTCCAACAACATATTGCGATTAATTTTTTACAAAATTAAAAATATTCACACATTAAAGATATGAAAATGTAGCTTGCATTACAAAGAAATGTTGGCTTACCTAAGTTATACCTTACACGTCGATTAAAATCAAGTAAAGCCCTTTCAAAGACGCGTGTCACATTAAACTACAGGTCACATGGCGGTAGAGAACTCGACGAAGTATTCAGGATATTTCATAGCCAGTTTAAACCCTGCTGTGCACTATTCCTGTGAATTATGATGCCCAACCCACTGGGTAACCAAATTTACCACTTTGTTCGGCTGTTCCAAGTGCACTTTTAAGATACAAGGTCCGATTATATCATGTTCTTCGAAGCATCTGCTCAAAACAGTCCAACATAAATGTCGCCACTCATCTTCTTCGTATGAAAATATAAGTTTTCCTTTCAATTGCTTTGCTTTAAAAACAGTCATTAGGTTGTTCGGAAGAGTTAGCCTGCAAGTTGTTTTTTTTATTAGTTTTACAATAAGAAATTGAAGGCGCAGACAACAGGACTAATAAAGTCCCAAATTAAGTCCTGCCATACATGAAAATACTATACTATACTATACTATACTATACTATACTATACTATACTATACTATACTATACTATACTATACTATACTATACTATACTATACTATACTATACTATACTATACTATACTATACTATACTATTACTATACTATTACTATACTATTACTATACTATTACTATACTATTACTATACTATTACTATACTATTACTATACTATTACTATACTATTACTATACTATACTATACTATACTATACTATACTATACTATACTATACTATACTATACTATACTATACTATACTATACTATACTATACTATACTATACTATACTATACTATATTATACTATATTATACTATACTATAAACGGTTATAAAATTAACAAAATACATAGCTAGTTACATATTTACGGTATTACACATAATTACATTCGTATAAAAACTCAGAACATGCACTTCTACGAACAACAAGACATAAAACAAGAACGACATTTAGAGCAAAACGTTTTCCAAGTCCTTGGCCTATTAACATCAAAACATGCATTAACTTTTTGAGTGTAGTGATTATAGAGTTTAAGTTTCAGTGACTGAATAGAGAGAGAGGATTTTATTTCTCCTGGCAGGGTGTTCCAAAGTGGCACTATCCTATTGAAAAATAGGTTTCGGAAAGAAGATGTTCTGCAACGGTTTGGTCTTCAAGTGCTAAGTCATAATAATATGGTCTTCAAGTGTTAAGTCATAATAACCAGCTTTGCATTTATAAAAAAACGTAATATCTTTTGTTTCGAACCAGTATGAAATAGGCAGTAGGTTAAGTTTGTTTAAACGGTTGGTGTAAGATGAGTTGAAGTCTTGAAGGATATACTTTGTCGCTCGTCATTGGACACTTTCAAGACAAAGAAGGTCCCTAGATATTGTTTGGGGTACCCAAATTTCACTGCCATAACACAGGTGTGTACGAACAAGTGTCAAAAAGAGAGAGCGTCGACAATTTATATCAGTTAAATATGTGCAGTTACGTCGTAGAAATCCAAGCATGCGGTTTTCTTTGGAAACAATGTTAGAAAGATATGAGGCGACCATTTTAGGTTATTCGTAATAAGTATACCAAGATCCTTTTGAGTTGATTGAAAAGGGATCTGACTGGAGCATAAAAAGTAATCGGGAGACTCAATACTACGTTTCGGTGAAAATCGTATTCCAGAACATTTCTTCAAGTTGAACTTTAACTTCGACGTAGAAGACCAAAGACACAGGGGTTGAAGATCTGATTGAAGGAGATTAGAGTCGTGTGGATTGTTTATGATTTTATAGCATTTACTGTCGTCGGCAAACATTGGTACTTTGCTGTGTTTTGCTGCGTCAGGAAGGTCGTTAACGTAGATCAAGAAAAGCAATGGGCCAACAATACTGCCTTGAGGAACACCAGATGTTACATCGAGGTAACTTGATGAGAAACCGTCAACTACCACGCGCTGTTTACGTCCAGACAGATAGTCAGAAAACCAGTCTAAGAGCGGCCCAGTAATACCAAATTGGGAGAGTTTAAAAATAAGTTTATCGTGAGGTACCGAATCGAAAGCTTTGGAAAAATCTAAATAAATCATGTCCATTTCTTTACCACAATCGAACGCCTTGCCAATTTTGTAAACAACGTCAAGAAGCTGAGTAATACGAGATTTTCCCGAACGAAAGCCGTGTTGTTGGTCATGAAGAAGAGGTTTAACAATATATAAGACTCGGTTATGGACCACATGCTCAAGAGCTTTAGACACGAGAGACAATAATGAAATTGGACGGTAATTACTGACAATATGAGTTTTGTTGTTTTTGGGAACGGGAACGATGTTTGCATACTTTCAATCTGCAGGAACCTTGCCAATAGCAATGGATTTATTAAATAATGCAGTAAGAGACGGAGCAAGGACTTCCGAACACTCCTTTAATAATCTTGCAGAAATCCCGTCTGGACCCGTAGCTTTCGATGTGGAAAGATTATTTAGCAGACGACAAACTTCTTCAACCGAAACATCAGAAAACTCAGTTGGAGTTACAGGGACAGTGTTGGATGGAAGGAAACATGGGTTTTGGGGACGAGGAAGAAACACAGAGGCAAAGAATTTGTTTAAAGCATCCGCTTTATCACTTGATGATTTAAATGTCGAGTCAGCTAGGGTCAGGGTATAAGGTAATGTTGATTTATTTGATTTCGATTTGAAAAATTTTCAAAATTGTTTGGGATTAAATTTTATCGTATTAGCAAGGTTCACGCTTTTTGGTTTTGATCATGCGTTTTGCTGACCTTCGTAGTTCACGAAATTTTTCCCATAGCAATGCCGAATTAGACTTTCTTGCTCGTTTTCTTAGAGATTCTTTCTGATGAAGTATGTGGATAATTTCTCTTGTAAAATAAGGGGGGGGGGGTGTAGGTTCGTGAAGTTTGCCTGCTCGGAATATATGTATCAACAGCAGCAAGGAAAGTGTCCTTCCATTTGGACCATGCGATGTCAATATCATTCTCACTGAGAACAATATCAGTCAAAGGCAAGAGTTTCAAAGATTCACGGAGAGCTACAAAATCACCCTTGTTGTAGTTGTAGATTTTTCTCTTCGCTGCGAATTTTGGTTTGTGATTGAGTAAAACATCAAACATAATCGATTTGAGATCAGATTTGAGGAAAACAGCTTCATCATCCGTGGTCTCGATGTTTTCCACAAGATACTCATTGGTTGTTAGGACCAGATCGAGAATGTTTGAGCCACGAGTTGGTGAAGTTACAAGTTGTAAAAAACCATGATCTTGCAATGAATCAGTAAAACTAGTCTCACACAACGTAACAGGAAATCCTGAACCATTTATCCCCTGGATAGTTGGAAAGTTGAAATCACCAAGCAAAATAATGTCCTTTAGATTAGATTTAATAGCAAACTCTATAAAACTGTTTAAGTTGTGAAGGAAGTCACTATCAGCGTTAGGTGGTCTATAACACACAGCAATAAGAACACGTTTGGAAAGAGATTTAATTACAACGCTTGTCAATTCCATCGATTCACAATTGAAAATGAAAGGCTCGGTACTTATAGAATCCTTCACAGCTAGCAACACACCACCTCCACGCTTGCCAGTTGAACGGTCTTTACGAAAGATTTGATACCCGTTTGGAATAACTTCATAATCAGTTATGCAATTATTCAACCATGTCTCTGTGAGAGCGATGACATCGAATTGGTTTAACAATACAATATCTTGGAAACATGACAATTTATTTTCACGACAGTTGGTTAAATTATCAAGTTGAAAAGACTTTAGACTACGTACATTTTGCATAATAAACTTAAGCGATTCATGTTGTTTAGATGGTGTTATAGAACTAGATTTATATTTACATCCGTTGATGGACCTGGATTACGTTCCACATTAAAAGAAGCATCAGAATTAGGGTAGTACCGAAATCTTGAAGCCAGAAATCTTTTACGCCGTTTGAATTTGATATTAGTCAACGATTTCTGGGCATATTCATGACGACAATCATTGCATTCGGAGGAAATATAATTTAACTGAGCTTGAGTTGAGCCGCATGTTGTGAGAAAGTCAACGAAAATAAAGTCCAATTAGAAATGTGCAGAACACCAATGAAAATCTGCAGTGCAGCACTGTACGACGATTGCACATGTAATGGCCAATTGAATTTGATATAGATAAAACAGGGAAAATACCCAAGAGAACTTTAAAATTTGAACAGGTCAAAAGGTCACGATGTCCAAACAGATGATGAATTCGCTAAAGATCAATAATTCGAGAACTAAACGAAGAAACAAGGCAAGCAATAAACCAAAATGAAGTAAACGGTCACCAGAAATAAGTTCCCGCGAGGAAATCCAAAATAGTTCATAAAATAACTGCGACAAACGTATATACTTGTTGCCAAGGAAACACAATAAAGACGCCGCAAAAAAATTAAAATCCGGCGCCAACGGACAAAATAATAGAACTTCAGTTCAAATTATTAAAAACTGGAAGAATAGAATAGAATATAGAATAGAATAGAATAGAATTTTATTTGCACTCGAGAAAAAAAAAATAAAAAAAAATGACAAGATTATTACAATAAAGTGAGAACGGTGCTGGGGAATTAGAGTAACTAAAGTTTTCGTGCCAATTCCCCATAAGAACTATATACAACAATGAATTAAATATGGAATTTTCCAAATCTTTATGCAACTTGTAAAAGCTTTGTTGTTATCCACTGATATATAATATGATATATGCAAACCGTCGAGTTGGAGGTATTATTGAGCACAAACCAGTAATGCACAGTTCACAGCGAGCGACAATATACGATGATCAACAACAACATGACATAAGAATTCCAAAATAATGTGAAGCCAGTAGAATTACCGATTGGAAGCAAAACAAACAGGATAAGTGAATCTTTATGATTGTGTTCACATCAAGTTTCCTTTATTACAATAAGTTTTGAGCATTTTAGAAACAAAATTTTACGGAGGTGAATTGCGCCGAACCGCACAGTAATTTGACACCTACTAATTATCAAAACAAAAAACCAAAAAGTTCCAACCAAAAAACCCCAAAAAGTTCCAACGAAAAAACCCCCGATGCTTTCAAAAACCGGTAATTCACTATGCTGTAAACTTCAACATCCTTAGAAATTGTAAGCAAAACATCGAAAAGCAAAATTTGCGGGGAAAAGTTCACGAGCCCGCATTATTTTCATGCAGCGTCGACGAAAGTCCACCCTGTTTGAACTTTAGACTTCGCTAATGCTTTCGTTTCCCGTTTTCCGGGGGGAATTAGTACCCTCGCACGGCGGATAAAAACCGCGAGTGCTAACGTTTGATGCCATATTGTCAGTCAAAAGCCAATAGGAAGCCATTCAGTGCATAAGCATTGCGAGACTAGTTGCAAGAGGGAAGTTACACTGTGCAATGCTCTAAAAATGCGTTGCAGCGTTGCCGCAATCGTTGCAAAAAGTAGAACCTGATTCTACTTCGTGCAATGGTTGTTGCAACAAAAATATTGCGAGACTTGTTGATTGCGAGGCAATTTTGCGTGCGAATTGTGTCGCAACAAAATTGCGATACAAGTTGCAAGACAAATTGCATAGTGTAACAGCGCCTTAAGATTCTCAAGCGAATAAGCAATGTTTTTATCACCGACAGTTCATACTTCATTCAAGCGACTGTAATAAGAGGGTCATGAAGGATTTATCGAAAACGATTGACTGTTAGATTTCATTAACGAATTTATAACTAAATAATGTTATTTTCTATAAATTTAGCTTTTTTGTAGCTTTTTGAAAGTATAAAAGCCCGTGGAAACGGTGAATTGCTGCAGTAGATTGAAAATAATTATTTAACTATGACTGAAATTATCGAAGTAGAATCCTATTTCGGTGTATTAAATTTCTGTCAATAGTATTATTTAGAATTTTGTTTGATATTTTAATATATTTAGTGTTATTTACAAAATGTACTATAGTTTTAAAGTTTTGCGTACCATATAATCAGGGTGACTGTGCATGCACAATAGCTTCGTTTTAATTTGAGCATACAAAAATGAGTATTTTGATAGCCTTGCCCACGTGGCCTTTTACGATACAGCGGGTATTAGACGTTGCGAAAACAAGGGCAAATAATGTTAGCCAATCAGCGCGTTTGTTTACATTTTGCGTTCTTGACCAATCAGAATGCCTGAAATTCGAAACATGTAAACAAAAGGAGTGAGAAAATAACACCTTGTTCTGCGCCCTCGTTGACATTCGATATTAAACTTTTTTCGCCAAAACTGACAAATTCTGCTAAAGCATGCTTTCTTCTTTAATTTCCTCGGGGGGATTTTTAAAATTCGATCTAGAACGCGAAATATTTATGTTTGAATAACAGGGTTTCGACGCGCGTTAAATAGCAGACTCTCACTTGCACTTTCTTTACACACACATAAAAAATTGGTAGATTTGGCAGTTTAAACTTATTTTCCCCACACCACAGCTGACTTGTTTTTAAATATTACCTATCTGATCTCATCGATCTCATTTCGCATCGGAAATGCGTCACAACGATCCAGGACTGACAGGTACAATATCGCATGACTCATTACTGTACATTAAAAGTACCCGGTTGGCGAAATGGCGATTGTCTGACTACAGTTAATAGCTGACAGACCTTCGCGAAGGGCTTAATATTTCTGCTAATAAACTGTTTACGAGGGTTTCGTTCTGTTCGTCTTCTGGTTCGTCGTCAATCGTCATCGGCTGCCTCACTTCTTGGTCGCTTTCGTCTTCTTCAAAGCAAGTTGCCGGAGCAAACAGCGTTAGTATTTGCTGTCTTTCCAAGAGCTTCAACATTGCTTTACAAACTGGGCTGTCGCTGATGTTGGGCAGGATACATTCGATGTGGAACGAAGGTCCAAAAACCACGGAAAACGTTCCAAGTGGTTTAACCTTTTTGCAGGCAGGCAAATCGCAAATCGATGGAAATTTTAAAGGAAGATTTATATTTTATATTTACAGATCTTGATACATTTATAGTCAGTACGTCCTTGGAAATTGTTCCAAAATATGAGTGTGTACCAAACTTAAAATATTACTCATAA